TTATGTGATATTTCAAATCAATCACATAATAAAAATTTTACGTGTATAACATGTTAACTCACATTTATTATATAGTTAAGAGTTACAGAATGACTTAATGTGTGTTTTAATTTTTCATTAGCCGAAAGTATCACTTATAATATTGGGAGATTTGATCAAAACTTCCTTATAATAAAATTTTAATGAATTAAGAACTAGTACAACAAGTTTTCTTTGAAAAGTCTAACATATACCATTATTATCAAAATATTAAATTTTAAAATAATATAATTTTTGATATAGATGTTGGTTTTTAATGGAATTAGTATTTTTAGAATTCTCTTATCAAGATTTATCAAATAAGATTCATGTTAACTATGAAATTCTTTAATTTTTTTTTTATTACCGTCAAAATTGATGTAAACAGTAATAGTAACATATTACTCTGTCTGATAATAACATTTTACTTTGTCTCACAATAACATATTACTTTGTTTGACAGTTACTCTGTTTGATAGTAACATGTTATTCTGGTAATTTTATCTAAGAAAAAAAAAAGATATTTATTTTATTCTTGTTCAATTATATATTTTTTTCTTAAGGGATTTGATAATTATTCAATAGTTTCCGAATATTATGTGTCATTATTTATGTGATATTTCAAATCAATCACATAATAAAAATTTTACGTGTAGAAGATGCTAACTCACCTTTATTATATAGTTAAGAGTTACAGAAATGTGTGTTTTAATTTTTCATTAGCCGAAAGTATCACTTATAATATTGGGAGATTTGATCAAAACTTCGTCATAATAAAATTTTAATGAATTAAGAACAAGTACAACAAGTTTTCTTTGAAAAGTCTAACACATACCATTATTATCAAAATATTAAATTTTAAAACAATATAATTTTTGATATAGATGTTGGTTTTTAATAAAATTAGTATTTTTAGAATTCTCTTATCAAGATTTATCAAATAAGATTCATGTTAACTATGAAATTCTTTAATTTTTTTTTTATTACCGTCAAAATTGATGTAAACAGTAATAGTAACATATTACTCTGTCTGATAATAACATTTTACTTTGTCTCACAATAACATATTACTTTGTTTGACAGTTACTCTGTTTGATAGTAACATGTTATTCTGGTAATTTTATCTAAGAAAAAAAAAAGATATTTATTTTATTCTTGTTCAATTATATATTTTTTTCTTAAGGGATTTATAAAATAAAATAAATTGAGCCATCTTCATCACCTAACAAAAGTCTAATTGAGATATTTTAATTAAATTTTCCTATACAACAATGATTGAGACCCCTTTTTTTCGGACACCCCCATAACCCCTTTAGATCTCTACCATTAATGGTGTGGGCCCCATACATACATAAATGAGTTTCACACATATATCAATGGTGGAGATCCAAAGAAAATTATAAAGATCTCCAAAAAATGAGAATCTCAAGCATTTTTCTTCCCCATAATAATTACATGGTATTTCAATAGTATCTAATAGTTTCCCTTTTTAAACTTTTCATTGGGGGCCCCTCGTGCATTTATCGGTTCTTTAATAATACATATAAAGATAATCGATACTATGTGCTTTTAAAATATTTTTGTGAAATTTTTTTGCAAAAAAGCTACCCTTTATTTTCGAGATATTTTTTAGAAATATAGGTTAGTCTTATTTTTTATTGGAAGAATTGTTTATTTAAGCCTATTTTGAGAAGTAGGTTAAAAGTCGTTTTTTAATTTTTAACCCACTTTCCTCTCTCACAAAAAAGTTAAAAAAAAATCAAAAAATAACTTTTAACCATTTTCCAAAAACACCCCTCAGTTCAAGGTCTATTTAGGCATGATCTTTTTCACTCCACTTTAAATCAAGAAATCTTTTTCAGTTTAGTATAATGATTTTTTTTTTAATTTAAACTAATTATAAATTTATATTTCTATTTCAAAGCTATTAAATATGTAATGAAATCCTTCATTACATACCTAGGACTGAGAGAATTAGAGTCCATTTTTTTCACCTTATGTTTTGGTCAAAAATACTAAAAAAACTGACTTTTCAAAGGGGTTTGAATTTAATATAATTGTTTTTGTTTTTCTTGTTTTGGATTGGGCTGAATGACAGGGCATTGAAAGTTATTTCCCAATCCAACATTTTTCTTTTGGGCCTGATTTAAAGCTACAATCTTGGCCATTCATGTGATCTTTGGAGACACTGTTCCATGTTATGGCATTGAAAAATTTTAGCCAATGTTTTATTGTTTAGCCAAAAAATGAATAAACACAACTGTAACAAAGATTCATATGCCCAATCTCTAATTTTCTTCTTCTTCTTTTTTAAAAGTTCTCATCTCAACTCAAGTTTGGAGATTTTAGAAATTGTTTTGGATTAGCCAGCTTGTTTCTCTATTCTGCATACCTAAACTAACCAAAAATTTAACCAAAAGTATTAAAAATTTATGAAAAACTTTCCCACATCTCTCTCCAAGTAGAAAAATAAATTCTAAGCCTCTGAAAATTTAAGGCTAACTTTGGATGACCCAAATATTGAGGGGAATATCAATTAGCTTATTTGGTTTTGGTTTTCAGAAAATAATATTCAAAAAAATTTACTTTTTATTTTTCTTATTTGTTTGTTTTCAATAATTTTTTTAATATTTTAAGAATTTTTTAAAATTTTTTTAGACATACCTAACATAAATACACTTAAAAAGTATAATATTTGTGTAAAAAATCTTTAAAAATACCACTAAATACAAAAAATACAAAAATTCAGTACATTTTTCATATTTTTGTGTATTTATTAATTTTTTCAAATATTTTTTCACAAATATACATCTAAGTAAGGTGCATCTAAAAAAGTAAAAAAATTACATAAAATTTTAAAAATATTCACTAAAAATAAAAAAAAATACAAAAAACAAAAGACTCAATTTCCAAAAAATTGAATTAAAAAAACTGAAATAAAATACACTGAATACGATTTTGGATACTTACGATTCCACCATTTTAGATGAAGATAAATAAGAAAGTGATTTTTTATTTTTCAATCCAGTCGGAATAACCTTCATTCACGGTACTCTCAAATTCCTGCTTGATCCGAGAAATAAAATGTGAAAGGCGAAAGATTTTTTTTTTGGGGGTGTTTATGTATATATTTTTGATGGGTAAAGATCCTTGAATTATACAATTATGTGAATAAAATTATATATATATATATATTTTTTGGGAGTGTTATATGTACATATTTTTATGTACCATTAATACAATTACGTGAATTATCCAATTATATGTTTTATGTACATATTTTTGGGGGTGTTATATGTACTTATTTTTTATGGGTAAAGATCCTTAAATTATACAATTATGTGAATAAAATTTAAAAAATGTTATATTATAGGGAATGAGATTTTGAAGAATGAAATATCCACTATTCTTTACATCCAAACACAATGTAAAAGACTTTTCACCCCTTGGGCATAATGTAGATGATTAGGAGGGGATCCTCAAGTTGCAGTTAACATAGCACTTGGTATAGGTTTGATTTTTCCTTACTGCGCAAGTCTTGACTCAATTTGAACTTGTGTTGAGAGGTTAGTGCCACCTGCTAAGTTATAGTCTCTCGTCTGAAATGAACAATAGGACACCTTAGTGATCTCGAAACAGGCGTTGCCTTGAATCTACGAGTGTAAGAGAGGGTTCGAGAAAAGAGTTGGAAAATTCGAAGATCTTCGAAGATCCTTGAAGAACAATTTCGAATTCTCTAGAATATGATGAGAGGCTTAGATTCTTCAATAATCTCAATGAAATAATTCAAGAAGGGCCTTTTAAACGGAATAGTAGTTCTAGAGTATCATGTAGATAGATATGTATCGTTTAAATCAAAGAGATTACTAGAACTGATCTTGTCTTCAACCCAATTGACTATAGTGATCAAGTTTTGTGTGTGTGTGTGTGGGGGCAAAAATAGGATATCAGTGGATTAATAAGTTAAATAATAATAAAATGACTATAATCACCCTAAACCTCTAACATTCTTATTGCCCTAAAAGACAATTATATGAATTGCTCTGTCCAATCAACTCTACTTCTCCCAATTGAAAAAATTTTGAGTGCTAGTAGTAACCATGTGGTGATGCCACACCAATCACAAATACCTAGCTTCTCATGTTTTCTTTTAAACACTAATGTGTAAATGTTATTGAGCCCACTATTTAAGCCAATCAGATAATAAGAGGGTAATTATGTGACACTTATCACCTCTTAACATGCACAAAATATTTCACTTATATCATAACTACTACCATTATTAGTTCGGGAACGCTATCCTCATTGGAAAATTTTGGTGATAATTAGGGGTGGGCAAGCATCCATCCGATTTGTCAAAATCGAATGGCTCGAATCACTTCGTCATAGAATGAACAGTTTCAATGATCTAAGCGAATGGATGAAAATGCATTTTTCTCAATCCGCCTAAGTTTAGAAGGATGGCGGATGGGAGGCCATTCGACCCAACCCAATTTGCCAACACTCCTAAAAAAATGATTTTTTTTTCTCTGTGTTCAAAAAGAATATTTTATTTAGTAATTATATTTGCCATTCATGAATTACGAAAATTGAGCCTTATTTTTATTATAAAAAATGAACAATGAAAAAATTTGGACACAAAATAGTAAAGAATTATTGAAAATAGTTCAAAAAAACCCCGAAACAACAAAATCTAAATCGCAAAACCAATCCACATCAACTCACCAACTTGCACTACCTGTTTAATCCGAATCCGTTAACTAAGCGAACGGATGTGGATTAATTTTTTTCAATCTATCTGAATTCGAACGGATGGCAGATGAAATGCCACCCGATCCAACATGATCCGCGACTACACCCTAATAATATAGGCTCAATTTAGAACAGGCCAGTTTACTATTTGGGCCTCAGCCCAATGTGCAAGCCCTATCTTCAATGCCACCCATGGAAATCGTGAGACTTTTGTTTGCAATTCCTTACTTTCACTCCTTAGTCGATTCACACGATTGGTGTATTTGGATTTTGAATCATATCCATACAATTCAACCCATGATTCATCGACAACAGACCTCGAAAATCAAGCCAAGTTCAAGGCATGTATCTACTACAAATGACCGCCACGCCTATGGCTTCTGCAATTTCTACTCCCACATACCTCTGTTCTTCTTCTTCATCATCATCACAATCCATTAAAAGACACCCAACTTTCTGTGCTCTATCGATTTCTGTGAATTCATTTCCTAAAACCCAAAATATTCGTCTACCTAGTTGGGTTCCTCAACTGGGTCTCAGCCCCTTTTCGCCATGGAATGGTTTAAGGCGTCTGGGTATCTCAATCTCACAATGGCCTGTTAAAAAAGGTACTTTTTCCAGTTCTTTCTCATCTGGGTTTGTGGTGTTACAGAGTATGTAATTGTGGGTTGGCATTGTTGTATATGTATTTTGTAGTTAAAACTTGGAAACTGCTTAGCGCTGTGTTTGGGTTTCGAATTTGGGAGGTGATTTGTGGAAAAAGAGAAGAGAGAAGGCAAATTTGACAAAAATTTGAAAATCTAGTGGGTGATTCAAATTTGTTGTTTTGTGGGTTTAGGGTTTAGTGTGATGAGTATCTAATGTACAAATTTATTTTCTGATAACTTTTTTTTTGCTTTGTAGATTACTTTCTTCCCTTTTTTGTTTTTGCTGTTTAGATAATTTTTCGGGCTAGTATCATTGCTGATTTTTTTTAATGGTGGTGTCACAGAAAGGAAGAGGCAGCATAAAGGCAAGGTTGTGTATGCATCTTTATTTGGAGTTGGGGCTCCTGAAGCTCTGGTGATTGGAGTGGTGGCTTTGTTGGTTTTTGGTCCCAAAGGTCTTGCTGAGGTGATTAGTGTTTGGCTTCATACTTAGCTTTTTCAATATATCCAGAAAAATAAATGCTCAATTCAAGATTATTTTGGGACATTACTGGGGCTGCTTATTTCTTGTTTCATATGCATATATGCACACTTATATGTGCATTTTAGCACACACGTGATATTAATGAAATCATCGACCTCTGGAAGGTTTAGTGTTTATATTGGGGGGGCTTGTATTAAAAAAGTGTTCGATATGGTTTCTACTGCTTAATTTTTGATTGCTGTTACCTGCTGTTTTTTTGTTCTTGTTGATTGGATATTGTTTGTGCTAATGCATTGATAATTAAAGAATATTGGGTTATGAAGCTTTGCTGCGATTTGGTTTATGGTTGCTGCTGTGTTTTTTGACATGGTTTCTGCACTACATTACTACTATTTGTTGTTTTGATCCTTGTTGATTTGCTTCTCATTGTTGTTTTGATATTTTCTGTGTAGACTTTGATCATAGGTTGTGATGTGAATGAAGTTGATATATAGATGAAGGCCCCGTTTGGTAGAGCTGTGGGAAAGTGATTATAACTTATACCCTAACAACTTATAGTTTATAACTGTGAACATAAGCTGATTTTTGACTTATAAATTAAGCTTCTCCTCCCCCACTTAAAAAATAAGTTGATTTTTGACTTACAAAAAGTTATAAGCTGTATTATTAAGCTGAACCAAACACATCAAAATAGCTTAAATTAAGATAAAAGCTGAAATAAGCTGAAAATAAGCCCTACCAAACAGGGCCGAAAAGCAGTTGTTTTGTTTTGTGAGTATATCTCACAGCTTTTGTTCTTTGATGAGATTGCCTTGGGAATGCCCCTTGTAATACTTGTATTGCGTACTCAAAATTCTATTCTTTTTATATTAGAATCTTATTCCAAAAAAAGAAAAAAAAGAAAAAAGAAAAAAAAAGGAGATAATTTTAAAAAAAATAAAGAAAAAGAGAGTAACCATTGGTTAGGAGTTTAGATTTATATGATTCAATATACTTAGGTCGACAAAATTATCATTCTAACTGAAATTAGAGTGGTACTAGACATTTAAATTTAGCATGAAGGCAACAAAGGACTGAGATGAACAATGGGTTATTAACTAAAGCATTTGAAGGGATATTCTCCCCCAGGTTTTTTTTTTTTTTTGGGATAACTCAGCATTTGCCCCATTGAACTGACGAATCTGGGAGACAAATTTCACTGTCCACTTGCAGGGGTCCTAATTCAAGCCAGGGCAAAGCCTCGTATGGACTGGCCCAAAGAAATTGTTTGCCGCTAGGAGGTTTTGAACCTAAGACCTTGAAAACCAAAAATATAGTTGATGTGTGGAATTTGTGTGATCAATGTGCATGGTCATGTACTATTCCTCCCTTGTAACTATATTGTGACCCCACCAACCATATGCATTTGGTGATCTTTAGAGCCATATTGTTGATAGAGTAACCAAATTACCTTCCCGAATCCCAATCTAACCTGCTTATTAGGGAAACACACAGGTTTCAACTATGCTAAACACTGTCCCCTTCCCCAACCACACTTTTGGTTGAAAGGCAAAGATGTACTACAAAACAGGCTAGCCTTCCTACTTGTAATTCTTTCTGACATTTTTTTAAACCAATTTAGCGAAGTTAGACTAAAAATTTTAGCATTAGCAACCTATGAATATATTTTTTCTTCTTTTGATAAGTGATGGGAACATTACCAATTTGGAATTTGTTAAGAGTGATTTGCTGTCAAAATAATGTAATACTCTTTTCAACATGTCAAATGCATCATAGTCTCCCAGGATTACCAAACTAAAGAATTAACCATGTAAGGTGGTGCAGCTTACTTAGGGTGCCTATTAGCAGTACTGCTAGAAAATTCAAGTAGAATGTCTAAGTTTTGATATTTCTTAATTCTTGAGAAATAAATCAGCAGCCTTTAAGAGAAACAGATTGTCACCTGCAGTGAGGACCATGGCGAAATGGGTAGAGTGCTAGTCTCCACAATTATTGATATTGACTTTCCTAAGACACTTGTTAATAACTTTTTTTTTATAGGGCTGATGACCAATCTTTTGATTGCTGTGATTTAACGTCAATTATAAGTGTCATATTTGTAAATAATGGTTATCATAAAATATTAATTTAAAGGTGGAAGAGCCTAAACTTTGCGCTCTCAGCTTTGTACAAGCAATGAAAGGAGAATGGTTATTTTCCACCTCCCAGTTCACGGGTTTGAATGTGGACAGCACATGGCATAGAAGATTGATATATGTGTGTATATATTTTTAATATTTTCTTTTATTTTTTTCCTATTCTTTTTAAATTACCTCCATGAAGCATCTCAATGAAGCTGTCTAATTACAGGTTGCTCGGAATCTGGGGAAAACTTTGCGTGAATTTCAGCCTACAATTAAAGAGCTTCAGGTAGGTTTATGTGACTTTTTGCTTATATTGCTTTGTTTTTCTTCTTCTTGAAGAAAGTTTTAATGCTAGTGATGCTACCTTTCTTTTGTTCCCGTCATAGGAAGTTTCAAGGGAATTCAAGAGCACCCTTGAACGAGAGATTGGTCTTGATGAAATTCAAAATTCAAAGCAAACCACATACAGCCCCTCCAACACAATGAGCACTACCTCAACACCTTCATCAATTGCCATTTCTGAAGATTCTCAAACGGTGGTTGACCCTAGTAAGTGATATCTATTAGGATAACCAAATTATTTTATCTTCTAGTTATTCTAAAACAATGAGTCAAATGCATTGAATATGCTTGTGATTTTCCCTTTATCCAGTGTGCAGTTAATAATTTTTTACTTTTCACCAAACTCCTAATGTAGTGTCTGGTTCACTAAAATGAAAGTGGATTGGGATGGAATAGTTATTCCTTAGCCTCTTTATAGAATGACTATTCCCTTACCAATGATGATTGATGAATCCATTTCCATGCATTTTTCTTAATTTTTTTAGTGAACTGAACATGAGAATGGAGATTCAGATGGAATGATCATTCTATTCTAGCTCATTCTAATGAACCAAATATAACATTAAGGATTCAACGCGTCATGTGTGAAACATTATTTTGGAGAATGCTCCGAAGGACAAAGAGATGTTAGTGAGTAGTGTAACAATCTACTTGGACAATTTGGGCAGCCTGTTGCATTCATGCTCTGATACTGTTGACAGTTGTTGCTAACATAACAAATACCATTGCATATTTAAACAATGGAAAATGCTAATGATCACCCAAAGTGTTCTCATTACTCTCGGTTGAGTGTGCAAAAAGTGCTTTGAAATGTGTAAAAATTGTTTAGAAATATGTGGAAGTGGCTAGGGACGTATAAAAAATGGAAAATGCCATATCTTGAGAAAGAGACCAAGGATATGTCATTTAATAATGAAACTTTGGGGCCACACCCGCTGGCTCTACCCAAGATTTGTCCAATCCGTATGGAGGGGGTGTTTTGCGTTTGTCCCGGGATTAGTTAAGGTGCGCATAAGCTAGTCCGAACATTTGGTCATCAGAAAAAATAAAAATAACAAACAAATAGTGAAACTTTGGAAACTGATGTGTCATTTAATAATGAAACTTTGGAATCAGTTAAGGTTGTAAGATTTGGTAGTTTGTATAAAATATCTTGAGAAAGAGACCAAGGATGTGTAAAAATACCTTCAGATCCTTTTTTGCAATTTTCTCACCTTAATGACTGCTCGGTAAACAATTATGACACAAATACACAATCAGCTCCTCTTAATCTCTCAATCATTGTTTCTGTGTTGCTGGCTCAGACTTCATATTTTATTAGTCAAACTGTTTGATTTTTTTTTTTGAAGTTCTGAAATATACATACTTAGTTCTTTAATTCATGCATACAGCAGGGTGTAGAAATGAAAAAGTTGGAACTACAAATAGCCGTTTGGGACCGACATTTTCATTGTCGGTATTGCCATATGAGCATTTCTCAGCTATACATTTGCCTCCTTTTTCACCAGTTAGGTCTTTTGTTTGGAATTTGTAGTTGCCTAGTATGACAACAAGTAGTCTCTTGCTGAGTTATTGTTTTTTCAATTTAATTAGAACACGGTTGTCTCATTCGGTGTATAATTGTATCAAGAAAGACTAATCCTTGCTCCTTATCACTATTGGGTATGTGCTTGTTTGTGCTGCTTTTTCTCTAATTTCTTTGTTAAGTAAAAAATAATATTTTTGCAAGTTTCCATTGTAGTCAGAGGTGGGTCAACCATTAGGCCGTTTAGATTGTCGCACAAGGCCCAAAAGAATTTTTTTAAAAAATTCTTGTCATTGAAAGTCCCAACTTTTTAAAGGCTTAGGACTCGTTTGGAAACAAACTATTTTAGTAATTTTTTTATTTTTTACAAAAAAATATGCAGAAAAGTAGAGAGAGTGATGTGATAACTTATAGTGACTTTTTGTATAGTTGACAAACTTGGGCTTAGTTTGATAAGGTCTCATTTGATGTTTAGTTTGAGGTCTCTAAAATCTTTGGGCCGCTGCTAGTTGTAGTTACTTAGCTTTTGTATTTTGAAAACCATTGGGAATAATTTTATGTTAATTAACAGTAAGTGTTGGAAATTCTTATAAATTGCAGATGGTGCTTCATCTCCAAGCAGAGCATACTCCAGTGATGAATACTTGAAGATAACAGAAGAGCAGCTGAAAGCATCTGCTGCCCAACAACAGACAGAGACACCCCCTCTCGGAAAAAGCCAGGTCGAGGTCGAACCACAAACTCGGCCACAAGGTTTGTAATCTCTCTCTCTCTCTCTATATATATATATATGTACACATATATATATACTCATTTAAGAACCAATAACAGATGCTGTTCAAGAAGCGGCTTCCACGATTCCTCCCCGACAGATGCCTGAAAGCAAGACATGAAGCTTCCTGCAAGGAAAGAAGACTTCCTCCAATTTTTCTATTCAATTATCGGCAACCCTAGATAGTCCTCAAATGTTTGTTTATTAGACAACAATGAAGAAATTCAGGGCAAATTCTTAGCCCATTGTAGAATATGATTTTGTATACTAGCAACCATTGCAAGAGAGTTTGTGTTGAATTTTCTGGGCCCTTGAATATATTTTAAATCAATAGGCGCATTATATATATGTACTTTTGCTTAAATTTTTGAAGTAAAATGTTGTTCACATAACAAAAAGATTGTCCCCTTAATTTCAAATGTTCATTGTGGCCAACAAAAGTTGAACTAAAAATCCTACAATAAAGGTTTTTAAAACTTGTAAAGGAACATTGATTCCATCTATATGATATAGAGAGGGAGGGAAACAAAAATATCAAGTGATATTATTTCACAGTAAATGTTGAGAGCTCTATGAGATTCATCATCTATGTCATCAATGTTGGTTATTATTTTGAAAATATCAATGTCATATCATTTTGGTAAAATTTTTCATTTTCTGACTAAAATTTCTGGTTGTGGGGTGTTTGGGAAGGATTGTTTTTGGCTTTTTGATTTTTTTCACTAAAAGACAAATTGGTTACAAAACCCAAAAAAACAAATCTAAACAAAAAATCACATCAAACTCCATAATCATTTCACTTTTTTTCTCACAAAAATCACATTAAATCACAAAAAAATCTAACTATTTTTTCAAATATAATTTTTTTTCTCCAATAATATCTTATAATTAAAAAAATTTACGAAAAAAACTCACTTTCCAAATGCCCAAATGTTACAAAATTTTAAAGAAAACAACTCCATGAATCAAACATCATTTGCATATATAAATCCCAGAAACAAACATCAAATTTCCAAATCATCAATCTACTTTATGTCATATTTAAAATAGACAACACAGGCATTTTAAATAATAACAAAAATAAAAATAAGATAGTCAACTTTCCTAATAAATAACATAGAATTAGATTCAAAATATATATGAATGGATAATTTTTATTTTTAAATTTAGTAAAATTTTGTCCATTCATTTATATTTTGTATCTGATTTTGTGAAGGATTAGGAAGTGAAAGTATATTTCGAACCATGTCTAGGCCTCCATGAGAAACTCCTTGTCGTTCTCCAACCTCTCCATAGCGGTAGCCTCCAGAGTGATCTCCAAATCAATGCTTCGACCACCAGTTTTCCCCTGATACAGATACACCATCCCATCAAATCGGTTGTTCGACCCACTCCTGACGCTCTCTGGTGTCCCAAATCCAAAATCTACGTTGTAAACCTTAAACCTGGGTGAACTTCCCACCGCCACACAGTTGGTTCCTGCGTCTTTGAACGCAAATATCTTCGGATCTCTCTCCCACTCACTGTTTCGCTCATCGATCGCATTCGAATTGTGCATTTCAATCGCTTTTTGAATTGTTGTCGCCCCAAACTCCGGCGGCTTCGCCAACAACAATCCCGCCGCCGTGCCGGAGAATATCGCCTGAATTAAGTTCCCGAAGTAGCTCTCCGGCATCGGCGGCTCAACCCTTTTCCGACAATCGGCGAAGACTGTAAACACGGTGATGTCAGTAGGGTTGAGCTGTCGGGAACGTGTGACGGCTCGCCACACGTGTGTCGAAAGGGATTGGAATGTGGTGAATGGTTTTGAACCGTCTGATTTGTCGGAGTTGAGCTTTGATTTGATCTGATCGATCGTTGACTCGGAGAATTTAAAGACTTTTTCGCGGAGTGGTGGGCCAGGGTTGGCGACATCAACGTTGGACGATGATTCGGGGGCATCGGATGGTTGGGAGAGGTTGATCTTCACACGCGTGTTGCGGGATTTGGTGCGGTCGAGGAAAGGTGGTACCGAGATGTGGGACCCGCAGCAGATCTCGCCCCATGACGTCATGAAGTGCCACGTGGAGGTCCCATCGAGGATAGCGTGGTTGAATGCACATCCCATGGCTAGTCCGTCTTTCAGTTTCGTAATCTACGGCGGCAATTAGATCATACCATTAGTGGGGCCCAACAATTAATAAATATATTAATTGAAAAATCATGTGATGTGAGTCAATGTTAGGTGGTTTTTGACAAAATTGAAAATTAAAAATTAAAAATTAAATGTTAAATTTTTTAAATTAAAAAATTATTTGATAAAAATTTAAGTGTTGAATTAAAAATAAATTTTTTGTTAGGTATAAAATTAAATTTGAAATTTATTATTTTTAAATGGACAAATTACACAAATAGTTTCTATAATTTGGGACTTGTATTACTTTGATTCCTGACTTTTCAATTGTGACATATTTGATCCTGAATTTTGAATCTTGTTCTAAATAAGGACAATTGAAGATATTACTAGATTTTTTAAGAGTAAAATTGTCAATTTGATAAAATATAAACTAATTTGACAAAAATAAATGTCAAACAAATATTTTTTAATTTTTAAAAATTATTTCTACCCACTAAAAATAAAATTATGTAAAATAGATAAATCTTTTAGACATTTATTTATTTTTTTACCAAATTAATTTTTATTATGTGTTAGGATGATGATCATGTAAAATTAATTTAAAAAAATTAGTCATGTAATTTTTATTAATTTTACATAATTTTATCATTAGTGGATAAAAATAATTTTTATAAAATTAAAAATATTTTTTTGACATTTATTTTTGTCAAATTAGTTTATATTTTATCAAATTGACGATTTTACCCTTAAAAAATCTAACGATATTTTTAATTGTTCTTATTTGGAACAAGATTCAAAATTCAGGATCAGATGTGTCACAATTGAAAAGTCAAGGAGTAAAGTGACACAAACCCCAAATTATAGGAACTATTTGTGTAATTAACCCTTTTTAAATTATATATTTCAATTTTTTATTATGATGGTGGTGGTGGTGGTGATGGTGTGATAGTGATGATAGTTGTAATGGTAGTGATGGTAGTGGTAGTTATAATAAAATGATAAAAGTGTTTATGACAACAATAATAATAGTGATGAATGCGGTAGTAGCGATGGTGGTGACATGATGGTGGTGGTGGTGTGAAGACAGGGACATGGTGGTGGTAATAATAGTAATAGTGATAATGATGATTTTATAATAACATATATCGATATTTACATTAGTTTTTATAAATTCAATAAGAATTAAATAAATTTTATATGAGTTAATTTTTTTTTTTTAAATTTTAACTTATATTTTAAGAAGTACTTAAATTTTAAATAATATCTATTATAATTATTTAACAAATTTAATATATTCAATTTTAAATACCGAATCAGATTACCAAACATCCCCTTACATATAGCATTATATATATAACATTATATGATTTTTTTAAATAAAATACAAATTTGGGTCTACATGTAAGATAGGAATGTTTTTAAAAGCTAAAAATTAGGTGGATTAGAATTTAGAACCATCAAAGCATGATTCTTCTGTGGGGCCCACTCAGCTTCCATGACCATGAGAAGGTAATCTTAATTATTTATTTTATAAAATTTAACCGTTTATGTAAAAATAGATAAATAAAATAAGAGGACATTAATAATTACAAAATCAGATCATTTTTTTTTTCCAAGGAATTGAGAGGTGAATTATTAAAATCATACTTGTCAACTAAATTTTTAAAAATAAATGTAATTGAACATATAATTATTGATATCTGATCAATTTAATTTTTTATATATAAATAAATAGTTCAAATCATTTGTCAATCCTGCTTTTATTATGGTCTTGTGGTTGTGAATATGATCTTCATTAATGGTTTGGGATATAGGTTGATTTTTTGATTTTTGGATTATTTTAGCCTCGGCTTGAAAAATCTCGTTTATGATAGACTTTTTAGTGTTTTGAAAGAAAAAAATGAAATAATTATGAATTGGATATGATATTTTGTCCTATTTACACTCTCCGTCCCCAATCTCTGAAGGTATAAAATTTCTCGTCCCCGATCCTGAATGGGGAACCCATCACCCCCCTCCCTTGCCTTCTAATGGGGATCGGGTTTTTCCGACCCTAAAAAATCCCCGACATTTTTTTTTTGAATTTTGCATATCCCATTTTATTTTTATTTTTATTTTTTCAGACAAATAAAAATAACATATATAAAAGTATAATCCAACAATATTTAAACATAAATATCCAAACAACAACAACATGACAAATAAGACACAAAACAACACCCACACCACAAAAAAGAAAAAAAATCCAAACAACACCGGTTTTTTGGTTTAAAAAAAAACATTTTCGAATACGGGGACGGGCCGGGTTGGAAAACCTATCACCATCCCGGCCCGAAAATTGTTAGGGATTCATTTTCGAATACTTTCTTAGACCCGTTAAGAGTATTTTTCGAAAAAAAATTATTGTAATCGGGGTCGGGGGCGGGTCGCTATCGTGTCGGGTTCAAATTATTAACCCTAACTAAAATACCCTTTTTCATTCTATATAATTATTTTAACCCAAACTAATATACCAAATGGGGTCATTGTGAACTGTGGTCTTCTTGTTTCATGGACTAGCGGTGATAGCTCCATAATCTATATATTCTATGTGGAAATTGAGATGATGTTTTTTTATATATGAACAATATTATATAAATTAATATATGTTATTTAAAAAAATTATTTACTAACATGACAATTAAATTTTAAATATTATAATAAATATTACATCAATTAATAAAATTTATTTATTTATATAATATTACTCGTTATAACTTGCCTTGTGGCATTTTCCAATTGAAAAAAAAAAAAACTCAGATTATAGTAATCAAATATTTTAAAACAAAAATGTTTCATACTCCCTTTTCTCCCACCCCTTTGACCCCCTTTCTCTCTCATTGGTTATATTTTTTTTTTCCTACTCCTCCAATTATCACCCGCAACGTGTCTGTAAGGATTGTAAGGATGGTGAATGGAGAGGTCTCTATCATGGCTCATTTTAAAAACTGTGTTCAAAGAAAGGTTGTGGGGGCTAGCCATTGGACATTTATTATGCACTATGTATGGGTAAAGTACAACAATGGATATTGATGAGACACCTCAATAAATAACTTTAAGGTCGGATTTGACAAACACAAAATAATTTATTTTTTTAATTTTTTATCTTTTTTTTATCACATTATTTTTTTATTTTTTTACACATCTTTTCTTAAAAAGACAAAAAATACATTTATTTAGGTCATTCTAAATAACCCTTAAATTATCAGGAGTGCCAGCAACCAGTACATAACACCAAAAAAAAAAAAAATTCTTCTTTTCGTATATGTTTCTAAACTTAAAATTTAAATACAGCCTAAAAAGTGAAACAATGACTCATAGTTTATTTTTTATTTCTTTTGAAGTAATTCTATGGCATGTGTTTGATAATTATCTTATATATAAAATGGAGACTGTTTAACTGAAAATTAGTTGAGATGAAACCTCACAACCCATTGATAAAATTAAATAAATAAATATGGTCTTATCATACTGAAGTTTAATTATTTCGTATAAAAATTAACTTTTAATAAAATAAATAGTTTATTACTGTATTTCTTTAAGATACATGTTAAAAAAACTATTATATATATATATATATATAGAATGTATACTTTTTTTTTTTTTAGTACATGCCAAACACCTATTAAATGGTTGTTTAAGATGATCTAAATAAGTATACTTTTTAAATTTTTTATGAAAATATATGTAAAAAAATAAAAAGATAATGTAATCTAAAAACAAAATAAAAGATAAAAAATATACTTATATAGTTTATCCCAAACCAAGCCTAAATGTAAGTGTATATTTTCACAAAATGTGATCCAAATGTGTGAGATAAATGTAAATCTCTCATATGTATCTCTTTTTATAAAAAACCTTCAATGTTTATATTACATCGCAAAATAATAGGCTAGGTAGGTGCTCAAAGCAAGAAAACATATGAAAATTCACAATTTTTATACAAAACATTAAATTTTTTTCAACTCATAAAAAAATTAAAAAATGGCTAAAAAAATTCATTCTTAAACAAGACTTAAATTGAAGCCAATATTACCTGCACTGCCAAGAGTGGCTTGTGAAGCCCTTCCAAATTCAAGACACCATTGTAAGGCACCAACTCCTTCAACTTGCTAGTCCCCTCCTCCACCATTAGCTCCGCCGTCTCGATCTCCTCCGCCGTCGCCACCACCACATCCACCCCTTCCATATCATCATCATATTCCACCCTAAAAATACCATCCTCATCCTTCCCTAGCTTCCCACCCAATTGATAAAATTCTTCCAAAACTACCCCTAACCCATCTTTCAATCTTCCCACTATCTCCTCAAAATCAACACCAACCCCCCCTTTGTAAATCAACAACTTTTGGTTATAGTAAAAGGCTAAATAAGGAAGATCAAATGTGACCAATTGACACTCTCTCCTTCCTATTGGTTTATTAGGCTTGACATGGGTTTTGCTAAGGACTTTCACTTTCATCATTTTCTCTTCCTCTTCCTTTGAGACATTTTCAATTGCCATTGTTGAGAGACTAAAGAGTTTCAAGGACACTCTAATTCTACAGACTTGTTTGTTTGGTAAATGGGGTTGAGAGATATGAACTTATAGAACAATTCATTTGAGGCAGTTGGAGGTGCATTAATGGAGTTTCATGAGAGGCAGTTGTGAGCCCATTAATTGTGATCCTCTCTCCTTCTGTGGGTTTGGGTGGAAGTTGAGTAAAGGTGCTGTTGTCACTGTATTGAAAACCTTATAGCTACACTCAATTTTAAAAAATTTATTGTTGTTTTATCAATTTTTTTAAATAAAATAGAACTTTTGGTTGAGTTAAAATTTATGGGTTAATTACACTATCCTGAAATTTAGAAGGAAAAAAATATATATAGTGAGTTTTTTTAATTTTATTTTAACATAATTACGCTAACTACTCTTAGTAAGATTAAAGAGATTGTGACTAATACAAATAATGTAAAGACACAAAAATAAATAACGTAAAATATACATTTCAGTATAAAAAATTTCATTTCATCCATATGACTAATGAATTTATGAAGAAAATGAAATTAAGTATTATGTGAATTAAAAATTTAAGAGAGCTTGATGAAATTGTGTTAGACTTGTGAAACTTATTGTTTAGCTGTTGTGAACCCATTAATTGCCTTTAATTTATTGTTTAAAAAAAAAAAAAAAATCTCCATTAAGATATGAATAAAAAAAGGGGGGTCTTATACTTGGTTGGATCTTAAGACACAAGTTAAGAAGGTTTAAAAAAAGTATACATTTTTATTAAATGCATTGTTAAATAAAATGTATGAATATTTTAAATTTCTTAACATATACTCTAATGAAATACGTTAATAAATTCTATACAAAACAGTACTAACGAGTGCTAAAAAATTACCCTAAAAGTAGGTGAAAAAAACTAAAAATGTGTTAATTTCAATAAAAATTGTATTACTACAATTGGTATATAATGAAGGGTGGTGTAATTTATTAGCAAACTTATGAGGCTACATCTATACTACTACAAAAGTAGAGTCATAGATTCACTATAAGAAATGACACTTTTGATTACTAAAATATTGATTGTCAAAAGTCTGATATTTGGTCGTTGAAACGATTTAGCGACTAAAAAGTTTTGTCGCCAACTTCATCGCCTATACTCTGTTGGTGATAGTATTGGTGACTAAACTTTTTTTGGTCGCCGAAAGTTAAGCATTTGCCTACTAAATTTGTTTTAGTCCGCAAATGTTATCTTTTCGCGACTAAAACCTTTAGTCGTCGAAGTGACTTTTGGCTACTTACGTTCGTTTAGTCGGAGAAGGTGTACCTTTTTGCTACTAAAGAATTGGTCACCGAAAATTAACATTTGGCTACGAAACCTTTGTTAGTCGGCAAAGGTGAAATTTTGGCGACTAAACTGTTAGTCACTGAAAGTTGTACTGTAAAATTTTTTCCAACGAGTAGAGACTAAATATTTTGGTCGCCAATAGAGATACATATTTTTAGTGACCATGGAATTTTGTTGTTGTGACTTTTGCCGCCTACAATCGATCGTAGCCAAAAACCTCTTAAGTTTCACTTCATTATTTTTTGCCACAAAACATTTTAGTCGCCAAATGATGCCGTTTTATTCCGTGACAAAAAAATTTAGTGGGCAATTGTTTCTTTCTCTCATTCTCAATTGTTTTAGCTACTAACTATTTGGTCGCAAAAACTTATTTGGTTATATTTTTGCTACTAAATTATTAGTGGCCAATACATTTGGTTATATATTTGGCTACCAAAATATTTGGCGGCCAAATACTTTTTTGTTTTTTTGTTTTTTTTTTTAAATTTCTGAACAACCTACATCCATTATTAGAACAACCTGTGTCCATTATTAGTACAACATGTATCCTGCATAAACAATATAATCCATCAACGCTAAATATATTATCAACCATTCAACAACGTGCACACATTTCACTTCCAACCATCCAAAAAATTAATATTGAACGTCCAATTCTATATATAATACAAATTCCATACGAACCAAGTTTAGTCTAACATCAATAATTTAATTCCATACATAATACAGGAATAACCAAACTAATTAACAAAAAGGACATATGTACCACAACAAAAATTTAATTTGTATTGCCCCAAAACTATTTTGTACCATGTGCTATGCTAATTTCTACCATGCCAAATTAGATGATATTTACCACACCAAAAAAGTAATTTGTACGAACCACTGTATATACGGATAGAGGTATAAAAACAATGCCCTCCCGTACTTGTCAAAAAAAATCATATCCACATTTGTATGTCCAAAACCATCTGCAAAAAAAAAAAAAAAATCATTGGTTTGGTGCCTATAGAGGCACTTCTGGACGATATATAGCAATTGTATTAATTTCAAACATTAAAAGACAAGGACAATAATAGCTATTAAATAATGAAAGACATCCAAACATGGATTGGTAGACGAGCATCAGTTTTATGAATTAATGCCAAAAGTTATGTTTATGGCAATTAAAAGGGCCACAGTCAACAAAGGCACTAAACAATTTACCAAAAATATTGTTCTACATAAACTAATAAGGAAAGAGTTAAACAAACTATAGTTTAAGATAGTATAACCAAAATAGTTACCCACGACATGGGCATTTCATGTTCTAGCACATAAACACATTGTCGCCACAGGAAATAAAGATTATTGAAAATCACACTTACCTTGGTGTAAAGATTAATAAGACATCCATAACTGATTACTGAAGGAGAAAACCCACATTCCTACAACAACAATCAAATGTTAGTACCTGACCAAACTGAAACCAAATAACTGATATCAAATTTCCAAGCAAACCTCTTCATATAAAATACACACACATGTAATAGTACCGTGTAAAGAGCACCATATGAGGCATAAACCCATAGTACAGGAAAGATATATAGGGTGAGAGAAAGAAACAAAATAACAGAGAAGACAAAAGAAGGTCTTTTTATCTAAGCAAAAAGAAAAGGAAGCCAAGGCCCTCCCTGCCAACCAAAAGCCCAAGGAGCTATGCAAAGATTGCTTCGACTTGTAAATCAGCATGTCCCTCAAAAGTATGACACTCCTTCAAAACAAAGGTGAAGGCTTCCGTACCCAAGAATACCACCCTGACAACTCTCCTCAACTTCAGCCACCAATAACAGTATATCTATTGGACTCCAAAAGGCAACAAGAAGAAGATGACATAACCAAGGAGCAACAGGGCAATTCAACAATACATCATTATCTGTCCTATCTGCCTCCTCTGAATTTCACACATGCATCACCAATTTTTTAGAACCCTCCTAACCAGATTGTTCATGGTTAAGATCTCTTCCAACACTACCATCTAAGTGAAGAAGGCCAGCTTAGTGGAGGTCTTTGCTGTATCGAATACTACTCCATGGATCAAAATCACTAGACTTACCCTCTTTACCAGCTAAGTAAAGGTATCAAGGTAGATCTCTGCAAAAATCCTAGGCACAACTTAAGGTACTGAAATCCATAAAGTTGAACATGAAATGCACATCTAACACCTGCAGGCTAACCTTGGGCCTGAAACATATACATGTACAATTTCACTACATGATTCATGTATAAATCTTCAATTATCTTAAAATTTTCTATTTCACTTCAACTTAATAAGAAGGAAAATATCCCCATCATAATCTTGAACTACTGCTTATATTGTTTTACCTCAACATAAATTTAGCTCCCAACGCCTTTTTCAAACTAATATACTATGACATTTTGGACTCTAACTCTCAACCCAATTTTTTAGAACCCTCCTAACCAGATTGTTCATGGTCAAGATCTCTTCCAACACTACCATCTAAGTGAAGAAGGCCAGCTTAGTGGAGGTCTTTGCTGTATCGAATACTACTCCATGGATCAAAATCACCAGACTTACCCTCTTCACCAGCTAAGTAAAGGTATCAAGGTAGATCTCTGCAAAAATCCTAGGCACAACTTAAGGTACTGAAATCCATAAAGTTGAACATGAAATGCACATCTAACACCTGCAGGCTAACCTTGGGCCTGAAACATATACATGTACAATTTCACTACATGATTCATGTATAAATCTTCAATTATCTTAAAATTTTCTATTTCACTTCAACTTAATAAGAAGGAAAATATCCCCATCATAATCTTGAACTACTGCTTATATTGTTTTACCTCAACATAAATTTAGCTCCCAACGCCTTTTTCAAACTAATATACTATGACATTTTGGACTCTAACTCTCAACGTAGGTGTCCTATTTACGTACCGTCTGTCCTTACATGTCACATTTGTCACCGGTAAGCTTCCTGTTACGTTAAAACAGTGGTTCGGGGTCTATTCTGCATTTTCGCCCCCCGAACCCCTTTTTTCGACTAAAATAAATGACATTTTCAACTCTAACTCCCAACGTAGGTGTCCTATTTATGTACTGTCTGTCCCTATATATCACATTTGTCACCGGGAAGCTTCCTGTTATGTTAAAAAAAAGGGTCCGGGGGCTGTTTTGCATTTTCGCCCCCCGAACGCCTTTTTTCGACTAATATACTATGACATTTTCAACTCTAACTCCCAACGTAGGTGTCCTATTTACGTACCGTTTGTCCCTATATGTCACATTTTTCACCGAGCAGCTTCCCGTTACGTTAAAACAGTGGTTCGGGACCTGTTTTGCATTTTCGGCCCCCGAACCCCTTTTTTCGACAAATATACTGTTATATTTTCAACTCTAACTACCAACGTATGTGTCCTATTTACGTACCGTCTGTCCCTACATGTCACATTTGTCACCGGGAAGCTTCCCGTTACGTAAAAATAGTGGTTCAGGGGCTGTTTTACATTTTCACCCCCCTAAACCCCTTTTTTTGACTACTTTTATGGCATTTTCAACATAATTTTGCTAATCTTGGATGTGGTCCCTATCCTTAGGAGTTAGTCTGCCTCACAAATTCAATGGACAAGATTAAACAAATAGAACAAATGAAGCAATTAGATCAAATCCACCATTGCCACTGCTTGTAGCCCCTTGGTAGCCCAAGTACACCAAGACAAAGACAC